TTAAGTTGAAAAAGTTAATTTTTTGTGAAAAAGTTGTCATTTTAAATCCCCCCCTGTAGGCAAGTAAAGGGTCACATATAAAAAAAATATGTACCAAATGAAAGGTAATGATATCATGCATCTATATAAAAAAAAATTATATTGATTCGGTTATTTTTAAAAAAGTTATAGCAATTTTAAGTAAAAAAAATTGAAAAAATTTCGAAAATTAGCGATTTTTAAATTTGTAATTTTTTTGGAGGTTTCCCCCATTTACGGGGAACGAGGGGATTTTTGAGGGTAATGTCTTCGACTAGATACGATTTGTGATCTTTTGACGTATCATTGAAAGAAATTGGTTCGGTGAGAGCTGAGAAAAAGTAGTAACAGACACAAAAAAAAAAACACATTTTAGTAAAACCAATACCTTCTCAGCTTCGCATCGAAGCTAAAAATGATGTTTTTAACATGAATCTTAACTATCAGACATTAAAAAATTAATATGCAACACTGTTAATCATATTATGATTAATTTAAATTATTTAATTTCAGGTTAGATGTACACTATGGTGGATTGAGAAAAAATTATCATTGAAATATTAATGATAACCCTTTAAACTTAATTATATACATTAAAATAAAAATTTTGTGAAAAAATGATTAAAAAGTTTATACGTTTAGTATATTGACTAAAAATATCCGAAAAAAAAAAAATCTGTTATACAATTTTTAGTCAAATATTATGTTTAGTATAACAAAATAGTTAATTTTATCTATACAATAAAAAAATTTTAGTTGAAAATTGATAACATGGGTTTTATAATTAGCGTAATAAAAAAAATATATTTGAAAAGTATTTAATGATCAATTATTAATATTTTCAAAAAAATCATATTTATTTATAAAAAAAAGTTTTATGTTTTTAAGATTAGTGAATTATTTTTTTTTTTTACATTTGAGGAAAATTGCATAAAAAAAAAATTTCAAAAATATAATGACGCTAATTATAATATCTATACTATCAATTTTCAATTTAAAATTTTTAATTTTACAGTTAAAATTAAACTTTTAGTTTCGATGCGAAGCTGAGAAGGTATTGGTTTTACTATGATGTGTTTTTTTTTTTGTGTCTCTTACCACTTTTTCTCAGCTCTCATCGAACGGATTTCTTTCAACGATACGTCAAAAGATCACAAATCGTATCTAGTCGAAGACATTACCCTCAAAAATTGAAAAAATTTCCCTCGTTCCCCGTAAATGGGGGAAACCTCCAAAAAAATTACAAATTTAAAAATCGCTAATTTTCGAAATTTTTTCAATTTTTTTTACTAAAAACTGCCGTAACTTTTTCAAAAATAAACATATCAATATAATTTTTTTTATATAGATGCTTGATGTTCTTTACTNCAATATAATTTTTTTTATATAGATGCTTGATGTATTTAACTATCATTTGGTATTTTTTTTGTAAATTTGACCCTTTTTCTGCCCACAGGGGGGGATTTATAATGACAACTTTTTCACAAAAAATTAATTTTTTCAACTTGATTTTTGAAAATGTTCCGGAAGGTCTGACACTTTTATATATATCTTAAATTAAAGCTAATGTAATATACTTTAATTTGAAAAAAAAAAATTTGACCTCTGGACTTGTCTTCACGGCGAAAATGGCTACCGAATGCTATTTTCGTGTGAAAATTCTCGATTTTATTATATTTTACATTTTTTACTTTAAAATGCTATAACTTATTGAAAAGTGTATGGATCCACACAATTTTTTTATGAGAAATAATATTTTTTAATAAACCCTTTTTCATTCGACATACTTTATCTTAATCGAGATATTAATAAGGAACCAGCAGATCAAGTAGCTTTTGGAATAAAACACCAATTTTTTTTAAATTAAACACTATCTAAAGATTTGCATCGAAGCGTTTATTTTTGATAGTGATTTTAATCACTGTCAGATATCATTATACTTGATCCAACTATGCCACGTCACCACTGTGCCGCGACCCCCCTGTGCTGGGTTTTTTTAACTTTATAATGCTATAACTTTTTGAAAAATGTATGGATCAATATAATTTGTTTTTATAGATGCATGATGTCTTTACCTATCATTCGGTTTATTTTTTTTATAAATCTGACCCTTTAACTGCCCACAGAGGGGATTCAAAATGACAACTTTTTTGTTATACTAATCATAATATTTTAACAAAAATTGTATAATAGATGTGCTTTTTTGTTTTTCTGGATATTTTTGATCAAAATACTAAAAACACATTAAGTATAGAAAAATTTCAATTTTTCACAAAATGTCTATCTTAATTTATATAATAAATTTAAAAGGGTTCTCATTAAAATAATTAACTTTTTTATATCCACTCTAATGTAAACTCTATTTTTGTCATTAATAACAACTATTTATCTAATTTTGACTAAAAAAAAATAAAATAATTTTTTAAGTTTAAACTTACATCAGTTTCAAATCGCCACTCAAGATCTTTAAAATGTGGAAAATCAAATGCACTAGAATTTAGAATGTCTAATATATGAGGTTTAACACTTTCAATAAATATCACTATCATCTCTAATTTAGTTTCACTAAATTTATACTCCAACAATGATTCTTTAATTTCTTCATCTGTTAACTAAAATAATTAAACAGTTAATTACACTAACAAATTTTAAAATAAAATAATATTTTTCGCCTACTTTACGCTTACAAGTTTGCACACACATTAGACAAATGCTTTTTACTAATGAAACAATTTGCTCCTCTTTTAAATCCAGTTTTTCTATAAAATTATAAAACCTTAACTATTAACAGATATGGCAGTTATAAATGCAAAAAAAAATTAGTAATTAGGTAAGAAAGACAAACCCAAATAAAGTATGTTAATATTGTAATGCTGCTAAATGAAAACAATAGTTTACCCTAACTTATTGTATGAAGATAATTAATCATGATTTAGAAATGGCAAGACAATTACAAACCAAAAATGCAATGATTTGATGTTGTATATTAGATATAGTACAGGTGTGTTAATGTGGCCTATGTTATTAACACATTCAAGTTATTAAAAATCGTAGCACTATACGGTAGTCATTGAATGGCTTAACTGTTCTAGTGAGTCAGGATCCTAAGTGTATAATTTCACTCTTCAAAAATAAATTGATTTGATTATAAAAGAACTATTTTTAGTTATATAAAAATAGTACATGTATCCGTTTATTAATTTAAGGTATCAAAGTCCCAAAGTTTGTTAATATATTCTTAGACTATGTTAAAATTATGTTTTTTATTATTTATTTTTAGAAAAAAAATTTTTTTTTTTAATTGTAAAATAGATATTTTAGTTCTCACCCGACTTATTCTTTTCAATGACATGTCAAAAGATCACAAATCAAATCTAATTGAATATATTTCCTTTAAAAATTAAAAAAAATTTCCCTCATTTCTGTATATAAGGAAAGTCCCACAAAAATTACAATTACAATTAAAATATAAGTAAACTTGGACTTTTTTAAACTTGAAACTTTTTTCACTTAAAATTACCATAACTTTTTGAAAAATGAATTATCAAAACAAAATTGTTTTTATAAATAACTTAGGCATTTCCTTTTATTACGTATAGATTTTCAAATGGGCAACTTTTGCAAGAAATTTTAACCTTTTCAATTTAAATTTCAAATATGTTTCAAAATACTTAGAAATTTAAATATAAGTTAAATGAAAACTTATATGACGTAATATATTATTCTATATACATTTACTATATACATTAATTTTACACTCTGTATAGACTTAATTGCTAAATAGAATATTTTTAATTGTAAATCAAATATTGTTTCTATACCAGCTGCTTTTTGATACATCGATGGATTAGGACCTTTATCCATGAATTCTTTGGCTAGTCTTAAAAAATCCTTGGCAACTAAAAAATATTTTTTTTATTCAATTACATTAATTTGTTTGCATATTAAAAAGAAGTCTTAAGTATCTAATGAAGGTAATATGTAATTATTATACAAGAATAAATACTGAAATATAAGGGTAAGGAGAAGTTAGCCGCAGTAATAAAATTGACCACCCCCTATGCAATGTTCTAAAAGTAGACTTAATTTAAATTAAAAATATTTTAATTGAATAGTAAAATATCATACAAACATTTTTTATAGATTAAACTTGAAAAATTTACCATATTTATTAAATTAAGGTTAAAAGTCTTGGATGTTTATGTGAGCATAAATAGGTATAAAATAAATTTTTAAAGAAAATAAAAGAATAGGCGAACACAAACTAAAAACAAATGATAAGTAAGACGTCGAATAAACCCTAACATTCTAAGTTTATTATTGTCCAAATGGTATTCAATTACCAGCAGGTCAAAAATTAAATACATATTATTGTTTACAAAATATTAAAAATATATTAATTTTCAAAAAAATAAAACCTTACTATGATCAGGTTGGTCAGCTAAAAGTTGAAAACTAATTTTAAATATTTCTTTTACTGATGTCATCATTAAAAAACGTACAACGTGAAACCAATATAAAATTTAATTTGCTAAAATTTAAGATTATTAATTTCACAGTCCAATTTTACCATCTTATTTCTTATTCAAATTAAACAAAACTATACACAGAATAATATTTCGATTGATAAATTTTATTTGAATCCGTACGGGAATTATTTTTAAGAACTATATTTGATGAGGGATATTTTTAATCAACTCTTAAATTTAGTTATTTTAAATAGTGTACTCTAAGAGAGTATTTGCAATTATGTAACTAAATATTGATAACGATAACATAATCACCTATGCTTAGGTCTGATAGTTAACAATCTAGTTCATACATCTTTATACATTTTAAACTACAGAATAAATTCGTGGCTTCTCTTATAAATAAATAATGGTTTATTAGAGTTAATAATCTAGGCATGGAAAATTTTGTGTCTTTTAAATAAGATAAATTTAATTTATATTATCCATTATATTACTCATGACCTAATCATCAGATGATTTCCAGTGTATGCGTTTGCAAAAATAAATAGTAGTAATAATTGATGCGGCACTGTATATATTAAGTTAGACACCCCTGCGCAAGTATCTATTCAATGTACACATTATACACACGTTTGGGTACTTTGCACGTTGTTCATTATACCTATATTATAATGTATTGTTCATAAGTTATATCTGTAACGAATATAATTTTATCTTCAACTTTTAACACTTTATTGTTTTCGCAACAACGTGGCCATCAAGATACAAAAGTGCATCGTTTAAGTTTTTGATCTGATACATTGCCGTCAGCCGGTAAAACACATTGCTTTTGTTCACTGGCCATAACGATATCAGCACCACGCGACCTCTGAAAAAACGCGCGGAAATCATCGGATTGAAGTTCTAAAGATTGTCAGTACACACCTTACTAAATTCGCTGACAACTTGAAAGCAATGGCCGGAGGCGAAGTAAACGATTTCCATCAAATCCTGACAAGCTTATTGAGTACAGATAATGCTGTTCGAACTAGAGCTGAGGTAATTCGCATTTTTTGATCGATATTATTATTGACCAAGGTCAAAATATTACAAATATTTATCTCATAAGTTTGCTAAAAATTTTTAGATTTAAAATAGTGATTTTCAGTCTGATTTTCTATAAAAATGTTATACAATTTTTGTGTAAAATATTTTAGAAGTAAAATTACATTTTCAAGCAACCTGTTGCATAATTTTGCAACATTTTTTAACTATATAAAAATAATCATTAAAATAATTAGAAATAAATCACAGGTTAAATAAATGTATTGTATGATAGTAAAGTATGGCAGTAATAGGTATAAATTTGGCATTTTATGAATTATATTACTACACAGTTGTATTAACACTTGTTATAAATATGTGTAAATTTTTCTCTAAACTGTATTTCAATTTAACTTACTATGTTAAATTTATCTAAAAATTGAAAATGAATGATAATATTTTTTGATGATCTATGATTAAAGGAATTTTACTGTTACAATTTTTTTTCATTAATGTAAAAAGTTGTTCATTATTAATACAAATGACTTTGTAAATTCTAACGAGTAATATTATTTTAGGAAACCTACCAAACTTTACCTTTAGAATCAAAAGTTTTGTATTTATTTAATGCTGTTCAAAATCAAGCTGGCGATGTTGATGAAAAACAAGTTGCTGCTGTTATGTTACGTCGTATCATGGCTAATGAATTTATTGAATTTTTTTCAAATGTAAGCAATAATTTTTGTTATTAGTATAATTTTATTAAGATTTTGGTGTATTTTTTAGCTTACGCCAGAAAATCAAAAACAGTTTAAAGATAATTTATTAGTATGTGTTAGTAATGAAAAGAATGATATATTACGCCGTCGTATGTGTGATGTTGCATCTGAGGTAGCTAGAAATCAACTAGATGATGATGGAAATAATAGCTGGCCTGAGTTTTTAAATTTTTTATTCCAATGTGCGAACTCTCCTTTGCCAGATATGAAAGATTCTGCACTTAGAATGTTTACGTATGTAGAAAGTCTTTAAAATAGTTTAGTTTCTTAACATTAATTTTAATTTTTAATTCTTAGGAGTGTTCCTGGTGTTTTTGGAAATCAACAATCAAACTATTTAGTAGTTATCAAACAAATGCTTCATCAGTCATTAGGCGTTCTAGATTCTAATGTCAGTAATTTATATTTATTTTTAAATTTATTACATATTTATGATTAAAATTTATTTGGTGTATTGCAGGTTCAGGTGCAAGCAGTCAAAGCAGTTTGTGCTTTCATTTTACACCACGAAAAAGTTATTGAAATTCAAAAACATTTTACTGAATTGCTGCCTAATGTTTTGAGGGTAAAAATTATTCTTTTGAGGGTTTATTATGTTTGTTGATAACAATTTTATTTTAGATAATAAGTGAAAGTTTAATAGCAGAAGAAGATGATTCATTAATTAAATTGTTAATTGATTTAGCAGAAAATACGCCAAAGTTTTTACGTTCTCAACTAGCTAATATTATAGATATGTGTTTAAAGGTATACAATTTATACATTGTTATATTCATGGTGTTCAATAAGTAAGGAAACAGGTCAATTGTTACTGACAGTGAGAACAATAGAAACCTACTGAACACCTATATTTATAATACCTTTATTTATCAAATTGAGTAATTGTAAAAAAAATGATTATTAGTATCTTAAAAATGAAGAGGCAAATGAATCTTATAGACAAATGTGTCTTGAAGTTGTTGTAACATTAGCTGAAACGGCACCAGCAATGATGCGCAAAGAATCTTCTAAATACATAAGTCAGTTAGTAGTACAAGTATTGGAACTAATGGCAACTGTTGAAGATGAAGATGATTGGGGTACACAAGATGATCCTGATGAAAGTGATCAAGAATGGTAAATTGATATTTTAATATTTCTTTTACACATAATTTTATTATAATTTATTTTTTAAATTAAATCTTGCATATTTTTTCTTTCTTTAACTAATCCAAGCAAACTAATGCTAGAACTTAAGTATTAGTTTACATAATAGAATGTGAAGTTATGATTATTATATTTATGAGTTTCTATTTTTGTATTAAATTTTACTATTTATCTTTTAATTTATAGCCTATTAGTGTCATAGTGAATTTCATTAAAATAACCAATTTTTTTTCAGTATGAGCGTGATGGCTGAATCCGCTTTGGATAGATTAGCATGTGGCCTTGGTGGTAAAACGATGTTACCTCATATATTAACTAATGTTTCTTCTATGTTGACTAATCCTAACTGGAAATATAGGTAGACTAAACAGTTCAATTAGTTTATTTATGTATACATTATTTATATATTTAGTTCAGTTTTTTAATCATAGTTATATATTGTAGACACGCTGCTTTAATGGCAATATCAGCTGCAGGTGAAGGTTGTCATAAACAAATGCAGCCAATGTTACAAGATATTTTAGTTGGTATTTTAAACTTCCTTCAAGACCCTGTAAGTTGAATTAATTATAATTCCTTTAACTTTTATGAATATTCATTCTATATAAATTTTTATTAAAATTGATCTTTCTTAATTTCTTAGTTTATGATATTCTTTGTAAAATGAATAAAAAAATTATTTTTTGTATTTTACAGCATCCTAGAGTTAGATATGCAATGTGTAATGCAATTGGTCAAATGGCTGCAGACTTTGCTCCAATGTTCCAAAAAAAATTCCATGATAAAATAGTACCTGCTATTTTACTGTTACTTGATGATAATTTGAACCCTAGAGTTCAGGCACACGCTGGTAAGTTATTAAAAATTATTTAAATTAAACGGTTTTATAATAAAAATGTTAAAATTTTTGAAAGGCGCTGCATTAGTAAACTTTTGTGAAGATTGTCCTAAGCGAATACTTCTTTCATACATGGATCAGATGATGATAAAACTTGAGAGTATATTGCAAGCTCGTATTGCAGATCTTATGGAAGGTGGTGGTCGAAGATTAGTGTTAGAACAGATGGTGACTACCATTGCTTCTGTTGCTGATACTTGTGAAGGAAATTTTGTTAAATTCTATGATCATTTAATGCCTTGTTTAAAACAAATAATTAAAAATGCATTGGCACCAGAATTAAAATTATTGAGGGGTAAAACTATTGAGTGTGTTAGCTTAATTGGTTTAGCTGTTGGTCCTGAAAAGGTATACTAAAATCTAATCAGTGTTACATTGTTTACTAATATTTTTTCAATAGTTCTTGGTAGATGCTGGTGAAGTTATGGATTTAATGTTGGCATCACATAATAAAGAAGAAAAATTAGCTGAAGATGATCCACAAACTTCTTATTTAATATCATCTTGGGCTCGAATGTGTAAAGTAATGGGTATGTATCAAAATCAACTCTTAAATTCAGTTGTAATATCAATGTACCATTGATATATTGATATACTAAGCAATATAATTGTACATTGGTTAATCTCACTGTACATTAATGTCATTTATGTTAATAGGTAGAAATGAAAGAAAGTTCTATAGTTAAATAATCAATAATTTAATATAAATGTTTCCTGGTTTTTCTGAAAATTTTATTACTGGCTTTTACAATAAATCTCATTTTAACCATTAATATATTGAGAAAAAATTAATTAAGTGAAATAACTAATTTAGAAAATAATAATTTCATTAATTTTTAGATTTATATAATTTTATTTTTAAATAAAATGTCCTTTCAAAATGGGGTTAAGTAGATCATAAATAATAAAATATACAAATACTTAATTAATTAATTTTTATTTTGTTTATATATTTTAAATATTTGTTGTAGATTAATATAAAAATTAAAAATATAGTGTTTTCAATGTATAGGTCCAAAATTTGAACAGTACTTACCTTTAGTCATTGGACCAGTTATGGCAGCTGCCTCTTTAAAGCCAGAAGTTGCTTTGCTAGACAATGAAGACATGGGTAGTATTACTGATAACAGTGATTGGCAATTTGTTCCATTGGGAGAACAACAAAACTTTGGAATAAGAACATCAGGCTTAGAAGATAAAGCATCTGCTTGTGAAATGCTTGTTTGTTATGCACGCGAATTAAAAACAGGCTTTGCTCCTTATGCTGAAGATGTTGTCAAACTAATGGTTCCTCTTCTGAAATTCTATTTTCATGATAATGTTAGAATAGCTGCAGCACAAAGTATGCCATGTCTATTGGAATGTGCAGAAACAAGAGGTAATTTAAATATAATAGTTAAGTCTTCTGACAATGTATTCATTAAAGTTTAAAGTTTTTCTAATAGTTTTGTGTTTATATTTACTATAGGATCAGAATATTTACAGCAAATGTGGACTTTTATATGTCCAGAATTGTTAGTAGCTATTGAATCTGAACCAGAATCTGATGTTGCAGCTGAAATGTATGAAGCATTAGGAAAAGTAAGAATAAGTTTTGACTTAGTATTAATGTATGACATTTGTAAAAATATGAGATGCTAAGCTTCCTAACAACAGTGAAAATTCCTTGTAAAAAATTTTTTAATATAATTATTTTTATAGTGTATAGAATTGTTAGGTGCTGGTTGTTTATCAGACAAATGGATGAAAGACTTATTAGTAATACTGGAAAAAAATTTAAATTCTCATTTTGAAAATGAAATTCAGCGTTTTGAAAGACGTAAAGATGAAGATTATGATGAGGTAATATTATGAATTATTTTAAATTATTAAATATGTGTATACATATTTATTTCATTTTGTAGGTTGTAGAAGAAAAATTAGCGATGGAAGATACTGATGATGTTTACAAATTAAGTAAAATGACTGATATTCTACATGCTCTTTTTGTTACATATAAAACTGATTTCTTCCAATACTTTGATTTAATAGTCAATCAGTTTGCCAAATTACTAGTAAATATATTTGAAACATTCAAAGATATTTATGTAATATTTCATTCTATGATATTTACATTAATTAGGAATCCGACAAAAGTTCATCTGACCACCAGTGGGGTCTTTGTGTATTTGATGATCTTATTGAGTTTTGTGGCCCTGGTTGTGCTAAATATCAAGAATATTTCCTTCGGCCAATGGTTGGTTATGTTACTGACTATAACAGTGAAGTCCGCCAAGCTGCTATATATGGTTGTGGTGTATTAGGAATGTATGGCGGACCCAGTTTTGCTGGTGTATGTGCAGAAATCATGCCATTCTTACTGCAAGTAATAAATAATGCTGATGCACGGTCAAGTGAAAATATTAGTGCTACAGAAAATGCGGTTTCTGCTATTGCCAAAATATTAGAATACAATAGTTCATCAGTAAATGTTGATGAAATATTACCTCATTGGTAAATATTAAGTAATTAATGAAAACAAATAGATTTTTAAAAATTTTATTTTTATTTAGGCTCTGCAATCTCCCTGTTTTTGAAGATACAGATGAAGCACCATTTGTTTATGGTTATTTATGCAAACTTATTGAAAACCATCACCCCATGGTATTAGGAGCAAATAATTCAAATATTCCAAGTTTAATAGGTATAATTGCTGAGGCATTTTTAAGAGATGCAATTGATAGATCACACGCTGTAGCTCAGAGGATGATTATGATTGTTAGACAAATACAAGTAAATATTTTAATGATTGTTTTTACTCTTATGTTTAAAGTATTTTTAATTACCATATTTTACTTTAGACTAATGAAGAAGTTTTTAATGCTTGTTTGGCCATATTAAATCCAGACCAAATAAAAACATTACAAAACCTACTAATGTCGACTAATTAAATATTATATTAATAACTTGTTTCATTATGACAATTGTATTTAAAAATCTTAACACTGTGCTTCTATTATTATTGATTTTTTTTTAACTTTGTTATACTATAACAAATTAATTAGGATAAGGTTATTTCAAAATGGACAAACAAATTTGACCAATATTTTTTTAAAGAGTAAGTTAATCTTTAAATACTGCATCAATTTAAATATCTAAAAAAAAATTCCTTTACTATTGTATATTGCTTTTTTTTATTTTATCATTAATTTTATATCCTATTGGACTTAACTAATTTATACTATCAATTTATTTGATTATCTTATTGTTAAATGTTTTAACTGTTAATTCAAGACTTATTTTTAATTAAAAAAAAAAAATGTTAAGAAGAAAAAATAGCTGTGTTATATTTAGTTAGTAATCATATATTTCAAATGTAAAATTTTATGATAATAATTGTTTATGTTCCCAAGACTAATGTAGTACTATGTTGTTAACTAGATGTTAACTTAATTTCTGTAAAGATGTAAAAAATTGTGATGATACTAACTTTTAAGAGTACAACATCTGGTTAATTTTTATATAGATTGTTCATAATAATTTGTAATATTTTAATAAGACGTTAACCAAGTGATCATTTAGTTGTGCTTAGACTGGATTGATATAAAAGTTAACAATTGTTTATTGTTACATTATTGAGTCTGTTAAAGTAATTGTTATTTGGTTGTAGTATTTGGTATATTCTACAAAACCCTTGTAAGTGTAATAAATGCAACGCTGTTTATTTTTTAATTCCTTCAGTTAAGTTAAAAAAAACTAATTAGTCAAATTTTTTAATTATAATTTTCCCTACCTAAAACATTTTCATGTTATATTTTATACAATTTTCTGCATTTTTTAGGTTTTTAGTTCTCTCTCACTCTGTTTATGACTATACTATCTACTAAGTATAATCAGACTGTTAATTGTCTGCTTGTCAAAAAATTGTATTTATTCAAATTTAAACAGTCATTTACATAATTAGCCGAGGACCTAGTTTTCTAAATTTAAAATAACTTTAAAATTCCTTAAAATATAATTGTGTTTATAAAAAACCAACACAGGGGGGTCGCCGCACAGTGATGCCATGGTTTAGTTGGAACAAGTATAATGATATCTGACAGTGATTAAAATCACTATCAAAAATAAACGCTACGATGCAAATCTTTAGATTGTGTTTAATTTTAAAAAATTGGTGGATTCCAAATGCTTCATAAACTGCTAGATCCCTATTAATATCCTGATTAAGATAAAGTATGTCGAATGAAAAAGGGATTATTAAAAAATAGTATTTCCCATAAAAAAATTATATTGATCAATACACTTTTCAATAAGTTATAGCATTATAAAGTTAAAAATATAAAAAATAAAATCGAGAATTTTCACACGAAAATAGCATTCGGTAGCCATTTTCGCCGTGAAGACAAGTACAGAGGTCAAATTTTTTTTTTTCAAATTAAAGTATATTACATTAGCTTTAATTTAAGATATATATAAAAGTGTCAGACTTTCCGGAACACTTTCAAAATTTAAGTTGAAAAAGTTCTACTTTCTACATGCATTTTTTAGATTTGAACCCCCCTCGTATATAGGGAAATGGTCCGATTTAAAAAAACAGTATGTCAAATGAAAGATGTATATAAATACTACTTCTCATGAAAAAATTGTACTGATCCATACATTTTTCAAAAAGTTATAGCATAATAAAGTTAAAAATGTAAAATACAAAATCGAAAATTTTCACACAAAAATAGCATTTGGTAGCCATTTTCACCGTGAAGATAAAATAAAGTCCGAAATTTTTTTTTTTCATAATAAAGTATATTACATTAGCTTTAATTTAAGATATATATTAAAGTGTCAGACCTTCCGGAACATTTTCAAAAATCAAGTTGAAAAAATTAATTTTTTGTAAAAAAGTTATCATTTGAAATCTCTTCCTGTGGGCAGATAAAGGGTTAAATTTACAAAAAAAATATACCAAATGACAGGTAAAGACATCAAGCATCTATAAAAAGAAAATTATATTGATATGTTCATTTTTGAAAAAATTGGTGTATTATTCCAAAAGCTACATGATTTGCTAGTTCCTTATTAATATCTTGATTAAGATAAAGTATGTCGAATGAAAAAGGGTTTATTAAAAAATATTATTTCTCATAAAAAAATTTTATTGTTCAATACACTTTTCAATAAGTTATAGCATTATAAAGTTAATAATATAAAAAATAAAATCGAGAATTTTCACACGAAAATAGCATTCGGTAGCCATTTTTTCCGTGAAGACAAGTCTAGAGGTCAATTTTTTTTTTAATTAAAGTATATTACATAAGCTTTAATTTAAGATAATATAAAAGTGTCAGACCTTCCGGAACACTTTCAAAAGTTAAGTTGAAAAAGTTAATTTTTTGTAAAAAAGTTATCATTTTAAATCCCTTCCTGTGGGCAGATAAAGGGTTAAATTTACAAAAAAAATATACCAAATGATAGATAAAGACATCAAGCATCTATAAAAAAAAATTATATTGATATGTTCATTTTTGAAAAAGTTACGGCAGTTTTTAGTAAAAAAAATTTTGAAAATAAGCGATTTTTAAATTTGTAATTTTTTGGAGGTTTCCCCCATTTACGAGGAACGAGGGAAATTTTTTCAATTTTTGAGGGTAATGTCTTCGACTAGATACGATTTGTGATCTTTTGACGTATCGTTGAAAGAAATCCGTTCGATGAGAGCTGAGAAAAAGTGGTAATAGACACAAAAAAAAAAAAACACATCATAGTAAAACCAATACCTTCTCAGCTTCGCATCGAAGTTAAAAGATATTTTTAAGATGAAGAAAATTAAACAAAACCCACCTAACCACTCAAAAATAATTTGCCCGAGTTACTCCACAATATTCAATAGATTATAAGTTAAAACTCCACTCTAGTATTTTGTACTGCGATATTTAAAATTATTCCATAAGTCATATCGAATAATTTTTCATTTTGATGATTTAAACTTATTAAATTGCATAGTTTATCATAAGACATTATTTTATTTTAATAGAATAACAGATAGGAACTAATGAAGTGTTATTTTAGTTACAACTTGCATTCATAACGAAATGATAAATGATTCCTTTGATGAAAATTTGATAATATTAAATTACTATACAGGCTTAATACTATTTCATATTTTATAAACAATATACAAATAACTATTTTACTTCTATAGATGAACATAAATATTTATATTTTAAAAATGTACATGAAGACTTAATTTTGTATAATTCACTCTTGTGTTTTTCAATATTCGAATAATCGAAGTTAATCTTGTATAAAATTCCTTATTTCTAGTGAAATTGTAAAGTAAGTTTACAATTAATTACCAGTTTGTAATTTTAAGTTTTACATTTTTCTTACTTTATGGTCGTAAGTGTCTACTAAAAACAATGTCAAATATACATTCCAGAAAAGTGACTAATACGGTGTTAGCATTTGAACAGTTGATTAAAAATTCTGATGAAAGCAATATAAGCAAACAAATTATTCAACGGAAAACAATGAAAAAACGTACTTTTGAATTGAATCAACAACAAACTCAAATAGTTGGCCAAGCAAAGGTATCCGCAAATAAAACAGTTTGTAATAACACAGATTCAATAACTAATAGAAACAAAAAACTCAACACAAAAGAAGTTTTAGGGTAAGCCAAGAGTACACTTAGATAAATTGACCTCTACAAATTTTTTTAAAGAATACATTCTATAATTTTCCAATCAAAAATAATGATTTGTCTAATAGTTTAATACAACGCTTGTTCTTCCTAACCCTCATTTTAATCAAATAGGGATTTAACTTTACTAAACACTATTGAGCTGAATTTTTGATACACTACTTTATAACGTCAAAAAAAAAATAGTAATATTTTTTAAATTTTATATAAGAGTCACTGTTATTACACTATACTATTTAAAAATTTTAAACAAAAACTGCTTTTATTATTTAAAGTAAAAATTCAATAAAATGAATAATTATTTTATGTTGTAATAAATTTGATCATTTGTGACTAATATTATTTAAAATTATATTAAAAATATTAATTTGCAACTAAAATATAATAAAAAAATTACTAAAATATTGCGGTTATGTTTTTCGGGAACAACGTTAAAAACACTGACATTTTATAAGTAGCAGAGACCCTAAAGGTTCCAACTTAAGTATAAATTAGTTAGATTAGTCAATTGTTAATAATCTAAAGATTCTAGTAGTGACTGACACATAACAAAAAAAAAGTAATATTGTTTATGTGATATCATACAATAATACATAGTAATCGGTTTATAAACCTATTACTATACAATACAATAACTGCAAAATAATTACAATATTGAAAGAAAATCTTTTTTAGTAATATTATTTTTTTTATCAACTATTAATTGCATATTACATATCTTATAAATTAAACCTTATAAATTTGAAAATGATTAATTGATAACAACTTTTATGTCTCCTAGAACAAAACTCTAGTAACGCCTCTATAAGCAAAGATAGAGTTTCAAAAAGATTGACAAATCATGATCTTTTGACATTCAAAAGCCTTGTTCTCTCATTTGAATGTAAAAATATCTAATGAACCAAAATGTTTATATTAAATACACCCAACCTAACAACAGTCATAGGTCATGTGGGACAAATGTAAATGAATGGGGTAATAATAAATTCATTATTCCTGTTAGAATATATAGTAGTTATTACTTCAAATAGGACAATTCCAATCTTCAAGTATATAGTTTAAATATAAATAGATAATTAAAAGTTTTTCATATCGTTTAAAAATGCATTTACATTTAACCCAATTGGCCATATATAAAAAAAATGATACATATTATTAATATGTTTAAAGGAATAAAACACAAAATGTCTTTTTTTGAAAAGAAAACCTTATTAATTAAGAATTTTAGTAATATAATGATCAAAAATCAACATAGAAATATATTGGCCAATGATCTAGAGAAGGTTAAAGACAATGTAAAAGATGTAAGAAATATAAAAAAGAACAATACAGATAATGATGCTGAGATGACTGATAGCATAGAATTTAACTAACACGAAGAAAGAGAATTTGAACAAGACCAATACAATACTAACGAAGAGAACCCAACTGATATAAATCACGGGATAACTAATAACCCAGAAGAAAGAAGCGAAACATATCATATTGAAAGTAACATTGAATAGTCCATAGAGGAAGAACAAATTTTTGCAAATGAGCAAGACAGAAGAGAAAAAACAGATAATGATGGTAAAATAACTAATAATTTAGAATTGAACTTAAAAAATAATTTGAACAAGACCAACACAATACTAATGTAGAAAACCAAACTGATAATGATGGTTGGATAACCAATAACCCAAAAGAAAGAAGCAGAACATATCAAATTGAAAGTAACATTGACTAGTCCATAGAGGAAGAACAAATTTTTGCAAATGAGCAAGACAGAAGAGAAAAAACAGATAATGATGGTAAAATAACTAATAATTTAGAATTGAACTTAAAAAATAATTTGAACAAGACCAACACAATACTAATGTAGAAAACCAAACTGATAATGATGGTTGGATAACCAATAACCCAAAAGAAAGAAGCAGAACATATCAAATTGAAAGTAACATTGACTAGTCCATAGAGGAAGAACAAATTTTTGCAAATGAGCAAGACAGAAGAGAAAAAACAGATAATGATGGTAAAATAACTAATAATTTAGAAT